GACTTGGTGGGTTGGGTTTGGGTCCAAATTTTGGACCCAAATACTATTCAGTTTTGGATCCAAGTTCCACATTTTCAATTTATGAAAATATATAAAAATAAATTTAAATACATAGATATTTTAAGTTTTGGGTTGTGTCCAATCAAATCCGGGTCCCATATTATATTTTCGAATACGGGTCCATATCCCATAATAAATTTTCAGTCGACCCGTCCTGTTGCCACCCCTATGCAGGACCCCAAAACAAATTTTTAGTCCACCCCTATTCAAGGCCCCAAAACGAATTTTTAGTCCGGACTTTGAAATTAGGAGATCCAAGCCTTTTAAAATTTGGGGAAAACAGAAAATCTGACAATCCAAATCCATACAATCATCTTTCTTTTGTGGAAGAAGCAGTCTATCACTGGATCAATAACACAAGATTGGGCCTAGGAGTTCGATTTTCATGGAATACCAACCATTGGATTCGACGAATTTCAAATCTTCAAAATGGGGCGAAAACTCGCCAATTCTTTGATCTACAAAATAAATAAAAGAAATCTGGTGGCTTTTTTTTGAATTTAAGGCTCTAAATAGGTAAATATAGTGATTTTATTTTCCAGCTTATAGTGCAACGGTAAAACCCTCAGGTAACTAGCGCAAGAGCGTGGGTTCGAGTCTTCAGAGCAGCCACTTTGTGCATAAGCCGTTAGGACAATTTCCAGCTTATCCCTCTAGGGACCTTACTTAGGCATGACCACACCGGGTTGCTACCCTTTATTTTCCATCGTATACTGAAAATTGGATCAAATTATGAGGTTTTGAAGCTCCTCCGATCAAGAAAAATGAGAAGTGGGGGTTGGATTTTGGCCCCCCGTTTATTTTGAGTTGCTATGTAATACTCAGCGATTATTGTAGTGACTTGCATGAGTATTAAAGAAGGATAAAGTTTATTTAAGGTTGCAACCTTAAACTATAGAATTAACGTGCACATTTAAAACTCATCATAAAATGATGTAAGATGTTGGAACACCCTCTAACTGATCATCTCGATATCGATATATATGAATATGAAAAGAAAAAAAGATTTCGAGTCTTAAAAATTGTGTATATTACAATACATCATCTGGATCGTCTATTTTCAAGTGTTTATAGATATACTTGATTTCAATCCTTTAAGATTTCATAATTATAGCTGAAAATAGATTCTCAATCCATCTTAGGAATTTTCTGCCTCAAACTATATTTATGATAAAATTTTGAGATGCACCTTAATTTGGTTGTCTAAGATTGCAACCTTATACATACCACACCCATTGTAGAATTGGGGTGGGTCTACCTGACTTCTGTAGTAATCAAGTGAGTTTATACAATACTCACATCAGAATTGTATGGGCAACCCTAGCTCATGCCAAGGCCGAGTAACTCGGCTGAGTCCGAATCTGAAACACTGGTATGTATGTATACTTGGCTCAATATCTTTGAAACATAATAAGTAAACAAACTAAAACACTAGTATGTATGTATACTTGGCTCAATTTCTTTGAAACATATAAGTAGATAAATTTAGCTTGTTATTTGGGCATGTAAAAAAAGGGAAAGCTTTCTATATTTCTCCTACTATATTTAAGTTATATACTTCCCCCTATCCAGTCGTCTAATCTTAATGGATGGTTGAGATGGCCGCAATCACAATGTCACGCTTACACATTGTTTTATTTATAATTTTTTCTGCAAAGCATTTTATATTAAATTTTGGGAGTCCACTCATCTCTTGAACTCACACCTGCAATAAAAAATATATAAAAAATATCTTTTTGATAAAATAAATTGATCAAAATGCCCCTTAAAATTTTAGGGGTATTTGGTCATTTTATTTTTTGGAAAGTATTACTTTTTATTTTTTATTTAGGTGCACCACATTGAGATGATGGCACCCATCAAATTTCATATTCATATGATTTGCAAAATAATAATAATAATAAAATACTCTAATACGTTGGTCTAGATCAGACGATCAATAGCTCGCTTGATCTAAATTTAATGGCTGGATGGGGGAAGTATATAACTTACATACAAAGAGGAAGTATAGAAAGCATTCCTTTAAAAAAAGGATTATTCTTTCTATTTAAACATCAGAAGTTATTTTTTGTTTTATTCGTAGATTTTGCATCTCACTCTAATAAACTACAACCTGGACCATTATTACCCCCTAATTCACATATACTTTGGATTTCTGGTTAACTTGATGTATTACAAATCTTAACCCCTGTCAAAAAAATGTATCACAACTATCAATGAATATTTTTGCATTTTATGAACCAATGTATCCATTCCTTAATAAAGGTTGAAATCTTGTATTATTTCTCATCGTCTCACTTGCTTCACTCGTTCACAAATTTTTCAAAACAGGTTGTTTGATAGAAAACATTTCCTTTTTTAACTGACTAACTAAAGACCCCATCTCAATCATTTTGTTATTTGTGAAGACATTATAATTTTTAGTGAAGTTTATAAAAAAGTTACATTTTTATTTTTTTAGTGAAATTTATAAAAGTTACATTTTATTTTGAAATTTAAAATAAAATAGTCCTCCATATTTTGTATATTAACATAATCCGAAGAGAACACCTAGTATATTTTAATTTTTATTTGGTTATACATCAAATTAACCTCAAATATCTCTAACAAATATTTAAAATAAATAAAATTAGCACATTAACCAAATATCTCATATGGACATTTTTGTTAATTTCTAGTATCAAATTAATGTCTTTATATATGTTATAGATGCATGATGATGAAAAGTATGAACACCCCAACTTTTTATCTAAATGTGATGATGGAAAATCTTTGAAAATCCACTCTATATTCTCTCAAAAGATAGGGTCTAGTACAAAACCTGATCTAATATTTATTAAAACTAAACTCTCAAAAGAGGGAGGTGAATAAAAAATATGAAATATAGAAAATTATTTTTTGGGAAATTAAAATGTAAATCCATTTTCTCTTTCATATTTAAAATGCCATCGACATTTTTTCTTGTTTTACATTGGGGTCACCATTTTTCTTCATTTGTTTTTAGTTTGGGTGTGGTTTGTATAAGGTTGCAATAGAAAAACGATACTCTTTACTGTCTATTTTACTTATATTATGTAGATTTGATACATTGTTTAAAACAATATCATTATATGACATCGTTTTTTAAGATAATGTCCAATTTACACTGTCCAAATAAATGGACGGTGTAGATTAATGAATCCGCAACTTTATATAAACTTTTTGGTTATAGTTTTGTTCAAAATAATATCGATCGGGTATACTTCAACTACCAAATTAGATGTAAGTTCTCCTCCCTCTCCCTTTAAAAGCTCGGTATGACACTTGGAAGTACCACACTAAGTTATCCATACACTTGAAATGTTGAAGAAATTGTGGTTCAATACTGGAAGTATATGTCCAGCTAGCTATTTTTGCTAGAAGCCTCAAGTGAAAAAAATATGGCATGGGGCAAAAAGGTCGATAAAGGATGGTTCAATAATATAAGTGTCGGATCGATAGTAATATAGAAGGGATTGATACAAGGTGGTTACAATTACTTACAATCACCTGATGTCAAATTTGATAGGTTGGATGTGTTACAAAGTTCGAAAAAATTTCTTTTGAAGTTTGAACTTGGTCAATGAAATAATTACAGTCACCCAATTTCACGTCCAATAGTCAAGATTAATGTGATCACTTTGTACTAAAGGTAAATGATCTCATTATATACTTATCCAAATAAAAAAAAAGACCTACAAATGTGAAAAAATGGTAATTATTTTTAAATTATGAAACATATTTATATGCTAATTTATTATGTTTAAATATCAAAAAATAAAAAAATTATGTAAATTCCCATTTTGTTACTTGAAAAGACATTTATAATTTCGAGAAAAAATATTACCCGTACCATAGATAAAACAAGGAATTACACAAAGGTCTATTTGTGTTTATTCGATTTTGCCATCTGTTCCAAACATCAAATTGCTTTCTTATTTTATTTTTAATTTTTTTTAAGGGTAAGGACTAGGCCGAGGTCTAGATCCTCAAGCCACTTAGCTAAATATTATACAAGGAGTTCTGGAGCCCCATACCAATCCATGGATTGTGAATTTCAGTCTGCCATGGACCACTTGGCTTTACGTGAAATTTGTATAAGCCAAGGAATCCAATATTCAAGACCTCATATTGGTATTTGGATTGCAAATTTCACAATTCAAATACTGTCTTGAGGGTCGCGACCAAACCTGCTTCCATAATATTCACAAGCTAAGCAGTCCTACACTTCAAATATTAAAAAATAAATAAAACATAAAAGTTGTCGATACTTGGAACATTGGAACAAGAGGCAAAAATAAAATAATTAAAAAAGGCCCAAGAAAGTAAAAAAAAGATATTAGGAAGATTAGACTCTTGGTATACCTTCAATTAAATTTGAACAATTGTTTCATGTGGGCTAGACTGCATTTCTACAATATGCGGTCCAGAGGTAAAAAGCATCTATATTAAAGATGGATCCATCTAAAAACAATGATAACTAATGGTCCACACGTGTTTTTTAATATAATTATCATTTTTAGTTTTTAATTTTTTTTTCATATTTATATTCTCTAAAAATTAAGATAAATTTATATTTAAAAATATATTTATTGCCGCTAACCGTTTCCATTAAATTTTAGACGACCTCATAAATTTTTCTAATTTTGATACTAATATAGTGCGGGAAATCAATACTCTTTATATATACATTCACTATTGTCCGTCAGATCTTCAGTCTCACGCATAAAAATTAATCATCAAGTAGAGGTAAACAAAAAAAATTGTCCAACTTTGGAACGTACCCTAAGCTATCTAATTTAAAATCGAACAGCTAGGACTCATAAATAATCTCATTGCACACATTTTCATATATATATATATATATATATATATATATTATTGTATACATTTTCATATATATTTCCTCTCTGAGAGTTGAATCTTTCTTTCTTTTTGAATGTTTTAAATGTCACTCTCTCTCTCCTTAAATGTCACTCTCTCTCTCCCGGCGAAAATTATAGTTCTCTTTCAATATTGCAGAAATTCGTCCCATTTTTCACGTAGATTACTTGGTGCACCTCTGCAAGAGCATGGGAGGAGCTTCTGGGGTCAAAAAATCTGCAGCAAAACCTTCAACATCAACTAAAGGAGGTGAATTTACAGTTAATAATTAACTTCAGTTCGATTTTTTCTCCTCTATCTCTCTCGCCAGTCGTGACCGATATTCAAACCCCCAATGGAGTTCATTTGGTTCATTGATCCAAAACCCTAATAGAGCGAAAACTCAGAGACCTTAATTAGAAAGCTGAAAACCCTCTACCCGAAAGGTTCCAAAACCCTTGATTCAAAGCCTTAACAGATACTCGACCCCTTGCCTTATATTCAATGTTTTGTTCTCTGTTATTCATCTTTTGGTATGCTTTATTAAAGGATTTAATTGTTAAGCTTTGCTCATTATGCTTGATTTTTGTGTTTAATGTAAACCCAAATTAGGGTTTTCTTTGTTTATTATAAATCATAGAAACAGAATTTCAGTAAAGGTTCAGTCAGTTACTGTATTTACTCTAAATTGCAGTAAATTACAGAATGTTGGCACCTGTTATGTTCAATACTTAGTCCGAGTTGACTCGGACTCAGCTGAGTAACCCGAACTGGCATCTTGCTGGGCCGAGCACTAGTTGACAAAATCCGTAATTAAAAAAAATAAATTCATAAAAATTATATTTCGTTAGAAATGTATAAACATGTTCCTGTATAGTTTTCATTGTTTTTATGATCACTTATGAACTTTTTTTATCATTTGCTTTATTCTTATAGTTTTCCATTTTTTTAGAATTTTCTGAATTATTTCGATCTATTAATATATATTTTTCCAAGTTACATCTTTTATGTTTGTTTCATCATTTTTAGATTTTGAGTGCTCTTTATGGTTTAGTCCGAGGCCCAAACCGAGTTTCAGAAAAAAAATTTCACTGTAAAGGGAAAATTTATTTTCATTCACTGTTATATGTATTTGAGGTGGTTACTATGAATTTGTTTACAATAATTTTGAGTTTCATTTTTCATTGAAAATTACTGCAATTACTGTACATTAATCACTGTAAATGTACAGTGGATTGTCAGGGGTAAAAGATGGATACGATTTCATTTTTAACTCTTATTTGTCTTTATAAGTATTCTTGTTCTTTGCCTTCTTATTAATAACTGAATTCAAGTCTATGTCCAATAGTTCAGTAAAAAAAACTTAAAATTTCTCTAATTAGCGTTGCCATGATATGCTTAATTGGTAGGGTCCATATGGTGTGTTTGTTAACTAGAACCTTTGGTGCTAGGCACGGTGAATTCCAGGTTCTGTAGCAGTTCCGTAGTTTGAAAACTGGAACTGCTACAATGTTATAGGGAGCTGGAAGTCCACGCTCCTCAAAAATTTAGGAGTGCAGACTTCCAACTCCCCACCTCCAATTGGAGCTCCAAACTCATGGAGTCATGGGTCTCACACCGAGGGAGCCGCTCTCACATCTCACTCTGTTCTCTCTCATCTTTCACCTGCCCTGCAAATCTCTCTCTAACTCTCTCCTCACATCTCATCTTCTTGTTCGCACATTTCTTACCTTCCCTGCAAAGAACACCCCGAAACTAAAACTCTCTCTTTCTATGGTTGTTCCTGTAAAACTCTACCTACTAAGCTCTCAATGAAGCTCGTATCTCACCCTTTTTCCTCAAATAATTTTCTATTATCCATTCTGATAATTATCTTATTGGCCTTGTAGCCTGACCCTTTGAAATCTAGAGTTCATATGCTTTTAGAGTTAGAGCTGGTTACTTTGTGGGAGTCATATTTTACAAGCAATGGTTTCTTAGTTGCTAGAATGATAGCCTTGAAGGATTTCTTCCATTTTGAAATACTGCGCTACATTGTCCCTGGTTTTTCTCACTAATGCGATCCTCATGAAAGGCATATGCATTCACTTGGGAGCTGCCAACTTTGTAGTACATTCAAGATTTGGTTGGAGGGCCTGTGGATTTCAATGGCGCATCGAGATTGTATTATTGCATCAGGACAAAATGTCTATGCACTACTTACATCACATAACTATTCTATAATTGGACTTCTTATCTAGAACCTCTAATATTAAGTGTTATAGTTCTTAATTGCTTTGATCAGTGTTCTATAACTCAGACGGTGGGTCAAATTGGTGACCCACCAGTTCCAAGCAGGATCGGCCGACAAGGGAAAGTTCATAACAAAAAAGACAATTTAAAACTTGGTTGTTTAAAGATTTTACACAAGGTTTAGGAGTCAAATAAATTGAAAACAGTGTTTTAGTGACTCATAAAGACATGAATTTCAGGGTTTTCAGGATGAACCGATCCCAGTGCTGATTCTGTGGGGAATTGGACTTGTTCCCAGCAGGCTTGGCGATTTCCTAAAGGAAAAAGTTTATATAGAGCCAAGGCTCTAAACAATCAAATTAGAGCCCACCTCAAAAATTTCACTAGAAAAGGTTGTTTTGATGCCCAAATATCCTCAAATTGATCATCTCGACATCAAGATACATGGATATGAGAAAAAAATGGATTTCAAGTTTTGAAAATAGTGCATTATAAGATGCATTTTGAACTGTCAATTTTCAAGATTTTATAGATCTGCTTGTTCTACACTATTTTTTAAGCTTTAAATTTTATAATTAGAGATGAAAATATATTTTAAGGCTATCACAAAGATTTTCAGTATTGAAACCACGTTTCTCAACACAATTTGAAGGTGGACTCTACTTTGATTGTTTAGAGCCTTGGCTCTATACAAACCGCACCCTTTTCTAAAACATTGGCTTTATTATGCAATGTGCTATCAATAGTATGTTGCCCATAATGTTAAATATGCTTGTGATTTTCAGCCCCATGCTTCTGTTGGTTTTTTTTGGGTGCAACTTGTAAAGGGTTTGAGAGTATTGTTAGGTGTTACTGACTCAGAGTGATGCCAATAACATTCCCTGAAAATCATTGTTCTCTTTTCCCTTGGTGAATTTAAATGTAGTCTACAAGGCACTCCTCCTGCACTATGGTTGATCCAACCATGGATACACAGATGGTGGTCACTATATTTTTCTCCTCAGTTCCTCTTTTTTGTGGATTATGTGGAAGGCAGATCGATGGACACATTCTTTGGAGATCTCACATGCGTATTGTCCTGACCCAAAAATTCCACTCTACTCGATTCGAGTTGCATTTGGTTGTGGATGCCCAGTGAATTGGTCATTAAAAGAAAAGAGCTTGAATGTTGACTCAGTTGAGTCTCAAGTAAGGCCAGGGAGTAGGATTCTTTGGGTGGGGCTGACCTGACTGAGTTTCGAAAGACCATATCACATTTAAGTCTGGTATTGCTATTGGATGTAGAAGAAGGGTCATGTCACTTACTAGGTTTGCATGCAAGTGGTAGGGGTAATGTGATGCTTGTGTTTTAGATATTGTTTTTCTCTCTCTGTGATTTTACTTCAGGTTTGTATTGTACAGTTTCTTGTTTCTTGTTTGGAAGAACTCCAAGGAATGAGTTATTATTGTTTATGTTGAATACCCCTTTTAAGCCATAACTTTTCAGTTCGAATCCCCTTGTACAAAGCAAAAGGAAAATAAAGAAAAAGTATAGTGATTGAATTGCATATTTATGTAAAGTATACATCTATGGGCCTCTAGATTATGCCCTGTTCCATTTTTTTCAAGTTTCTTGAAAGTGGTCACTATTATTAATTATCTGGCAATCTTTGATTAAGTTTCAGATTCATAGTGTGTTTCTTAGGTTCATTGGTGTTTATGTTTCAAAATCCATAGGCATGGAGTTGCAACCCTCGTTTACACCTTCACCTTCACCATTGGCAATTGGAACACAAGCTAGGGGAAATATCCAGAGAACTAACCAGTGGACTTTTACTCAGGAGGTGTCCTTCATAGAGTTCATGTTAGAAGAGATCAATAATAGTCGGGGCGTTCAAGGTGGGTTCCAGAGGGAAGCTTGGGAAAGAATGACACAGAAGATGGTAGCCTTGTATGGTGATTCATTTGACCGTGAAAGGCTCAAGAATAAGCACAAATTGCTTAGGAATATGTACAGAGATATAAAAAAACTCACATCAGTGTCTGGTTTTAAATGGGATGGCCTGAGAAGCATGGTGACAGCTGAGAAGGAAGTTTGGGATGATTACTTAAAGGTCAGTCCATAGCCCTTACACCTACTTTTCTCTAGTGTTAGATTATTTGAATGGTTAGAATACTCAAAATTGCATGTCTATACCTTCTTAGGAAAACCCATGGGCTACCAAGTTTCAAAATAAGGGCTTGCTGGATCTGAATAGCTTGGATCGCATTTTTGGGGGAGCTATTGCAGATGGGAGGCGTCGTGACACAGTGGGCAATGCGGTCCCCCTGGACAACACACCAGTGGCTGATGTGGGCGGTACATTGACACCATTAGAATCTCCCCAAATTCACCTACTTGATGGTGAGGCTGAATCATCACCATTGAGCAACACTGGCAGGTCATCATCGAGTCGATCTAAGAGACCCCGACCCAATACTCCCATTTCTCGAACCCAAAAAAAGAAGCAAGGCATTGCTAGTGAACATGTAGCAGCGGCTATGATTGCGATGGCCGACAGCATAAGAGAAATGATGGCCCTGCTAAGCCCGAATCCCCAAATCCAGATGAAGGAGTGCATGGATGCTGTTGAAGAGTTGTTTCAGAATGGGGAAGTGGACTTAGATGATGTCATGAAGGCTTCTGGGCTCTTTCAAGACAGCTCGAAGGCTCATATGTTCTTAGCTTTGAGGCCTAAGTACCGACGGATGTTTCTTGAGAGAGAATTGGCACATTGACTATGCTTGTTTATTTTGGGAGATAGGGTTTTTAGACAAATTTTAGTGAGCCATACACTTGATTATATATAGCAGTAGACTCATGAGAATGTGGATTTTGATATCTTATCAAAATTTTGTTCAACCACTTTCTTATAGCTGGAGTGGAATTGAAGTGGGTTTTTGGGTTTATATAATGCGTGAATGCGCATATCATTGACATATTTCACTTCCTATATCTTACTTGTACTCTCACTCTCTACTTGAGGTTAGTGATTACTAGTGCAAATGCTTTATGGGTTCTTCCATTTCGTCTCATTTTTCATCTTTCAACATTTCTTCTTTGTAGAAAGGTTGCTCTTTTTCATTTTGTGTTTTGGTTCAATCATGGAAGCGTCCTTACTTTGCCATTTTGTGTTTTGGTTCAACCACGGAAGCGTCCTTTGTGAGGGTTTGGGTTTCTTTTCTAATGCAACTAAAAGAAAACATACTTGAGTTAGCAAATAAACTATGCACATCCCAATTTGGATGGAATAAGGCTAAGAGAAAGGCAGATGTGTTTTTTTTTCTTAAGCCACTGACATTGTATTAAGAGTAAGAGAATACAAAATATAAAAACGCACACACAGAGGTGTTGTGCTGACTGCAAAAAGGAAAAAGAAAAAGATATATAACCACTGCTATTACAATTCATTAAGAAAGGAAGTAGACAAAAAGGAAAGATGTTTAGCCTTAAGAGATCCATAAATCACTAACCTTATTCCATCCCAATATCTCTTGAAACCATGAAATCTGCTAATTTCCCTGCCCCATGTTTTTCTATGATAAATGCCTGTTGAGAAACACTTCACTGTATATAGTGAGCTTTGCTGTAAAACTGTTGCATTTTTCTGAATTTCTAAAGATTTTCAGTAAGATATGTACTGCCGTTGAAATGGAAGTCTTTTGAGTTGTATGAAGCCTAATTTGAATGCTTATGAGGCTCTGTAACTGTGGCACTTACATGTGGCTGAGTCATTCTTCAAATAATTTCAGATAGTCTCAATCCAAACTCAGTGTAATCTTCCAGACTGGCACCTCTGGATACAATTAGTAAGGGTCTTGAGGAGGTGGTCCTTGAATTAGAAAAACTAGTGATCGGGTGGTGTTTAGGGTGACTAAGAACAGATGCGGTACGTGTGCGTGCACATGCTATTTGTGTGCATGTATGCAGGACAAACATACAGTTAGCTCATGCTGCTAAAGAATGACCTCTGCATGATTTCTTCCAGTTTGTCGCCTTGTATACCCGAGGAACAATATACTTATGTTATCGTGTGGATAATTTGGAATAAGTGGTATTAAATTGAGATTAATACTGATGTGAGATTCATGCTGTGTTTTCTTGTTTCGTAAGTAATTTGAACAGGGCATCAGGTAGTTGCAGGTGATTTTCAGGTATTTTGTTTGATGGTTTGTCCTCTTGAGAGCTTTGAACTTTGAACAGTGATGCTGCGTTGATATGTGAAGCTGAATTTCAATGGGTTAGGAAAAGGAGAAACCTTTGTCCCTTTGGCTTTCGGTCTGGGTGGTGCTTGTGCTGTTTATTCGGGGGTTGGAAGGCATTTTCTTTTATTTTAGGTGCATGCGCAGGCATATTATGGAGGTCGCAGGTGTGCTACTGGCAATCGCTTTGCTTGTGATTTCGTGAGTCACACTCTTCTTCTAAGAAGTTGCAGTAGATGGCTGAGGAGTGCTTTTGCTTGTCACTGGTGCCTCATGTATATAAGAGATCAGTTGTGTCCAGTTATGGTTTGAAATTTCTTGAAAGGTCTTAGAGAAGCTATAGTGTGCCAATCTTACTGGTGAAATTTTGCTGATTTAGGTGTTGCTTGATCTTAAGGTTTCCATGAGATCCACGAGTGTCCTTAACTGAATGGGCAAAATTTGAGCCTCTTGCTGCTATATCTTTTTAAACTGTCTTGAATTTACACGGGGGTAAACTAATATTTCACAGAACGGATATTGTTGTTGTAATGGGTAACAATATTCTGGTATGAATTTGTCTAGAAATCGAGTTTATGCATTGCAAATAGGGGCTATGTTCGTTGTGATGGCAATCTGCGAAAGTGCTTTGATCCATTGCGAATGGAAAGAACTGTATTCATTGAACTTCATAGAATTTTTTGAACTTGCGAATGGAAAGAGCTGCATTCATTGAACTTCATAGAATTATGAGAGAGTTTCCCACTTCAAAATATGAGACACATTATGGTAAAAGAACGAGTGGCTATTTTCTCGATCACTGTGGTACAAAAATGAACGAAAGGGGTCGGTGCAGACTTTTTACCAGCCTTATGAGCAAGTCGTCAATCACTACTTCAATAAAGTATTACAGGCAGTTCTGGCTTTGGGACAATGTGACGTCTAGGGTTCTATTCCCATGGATCTCATAGATTATGTATATGGTTAATTGAGGTATTAGAAAAAAAATCTAAAGAAAAACCGAATTTTTTGAAATTCATCTTTGCATTGAATGTCGTTGAACAAACTCTGAAGTAATGAAAATCACACTTTCCAATTCTAAAGAACCAAATTTAGTATCCGTGGAGTGCACAGGTCAAATCATCAATATATCGTGGTGAGACTTCGGGTATTTCTAGGTGACGAGTTATGAGAATTGGAAATGTGGAGAGGAAGATAACCCTAGTCAGTCGAGTAGGGAGGACTATATTACTATAATATCAGTTTACACTCATGACATTTAGAGTGTCATTTCTATTATGTTTGGGTACCACAATATGACATCTCGAGTTCCATTCTACCCTTTTTATTCTGATCTACCAAAAAAAAATGATGTTAACCGTTAAAGCACTACAATATCACTCGTTTTTCAGATCTTGGAATTCCCCCAAATCATAAGTAAGAGTTTCATTGCTTGCTTGCACAATTGGCAAAGGGGTGGTTGGCGTATCTGTTGTCAATGATCGGGACTAATCGAAGCAGATGCTACGGCAGCCCTGGACCAACCGTAGGCAGACTTAAGGTGGACATAGTAGCCTTCATTCCTTCCAATGAAGAACCTTGCTAGCAAAGAGCTTGATACTCTTCAGGATTACCGAGACTTAAAAGTAAGTCAGTTCTTCCAAAGAACCAGAAACGAAGCACTGTGCCGGGGCAGGGGGACTTGAACTCAATCTCGAGGTCAACTAGGATGAATTAAGCAGTTGCGCCGATAGCCACGAAGGCAAAGGAAGCATTACTGCGCTTGGGTGCTATCAACTTCTAAAGTGAATCAATGGCATTTAGAAAGCGGTCAATAGATCACTATCAGTCTTGCGTGGGAAGGAGTCGACCTGAACATTGTTCAGTCCACTTGGGTTCTGGCCCTGCCCATCTTAGTTTTTTGGATTCTAATATCCCCGTTTCCTTTTCTTGTTGTGGATACATAACAATGTTCAGCTAGAACACCATGGCGACTAACAATAATCTCAGATATCATAGGGTATTTTGAGCATGGACAATATATCACCAACTAGTTGCTATAGAGAAGCCAGTATCTAGACAGATGGTTTGGCCAGAGGAGAATCCTTTCAACCAATTTTGGCAGTTTATAGTATTACTCTGGTTTTGTTTAGCCTGCAAAAAATTGTATACTTGTATATTTTGGCATATATTAATGGAATATCTCCAAGCAAAAAAAAAAAAAAAAAAGAAAATCCTAATAATTAACATGAAAGGGAGAAAGAATTGACTAGTAATAGCGTTTTTTTGATATTATAATTAATTAATACCGTAACTTTTGATCTGATCTATTCATTTTTATTTATCCCATTACGTGGAGGGTTATACTCAAAACATGTCACTCATTGGACCAATATCAATATCTGGATGACATGGTGAATGTTTTCTACCCAGCTGAACTGAACAACAAAAACTAAAGGCACGAGTATTTATGGGGAAATATTTTCACACCAAAGAATTCCTTTGTGTGGTTAGGTTTGAAAATATTTTTACACCAATTGATGTTAATGCATCTTTTCACACCAATTGACAACTGATCGGTGAAAAATATTTACATGCGAAACAAACATGCTCTAAAATTACTATTCGAGTCCGAGTCTAGTTCCGATGGGTCCAGATCCAGTAATATTTTTTGGATCCCAATATATGAAATATATTTAAATATATAAATATTTTAATTTTTGGATTGGGTTTAATCGGATGTGGGCCCTACACCATATTTTCGGATCTAGTGAATTCGAGTCGGACGCGAACCTAGACCGGTTTGCGGCCCTTAGGGAGAGAGGACCAAGTTGGAAACAATGAGGGTGGGTGTTTCTGTCATTTTTATAAAGAGACGGGCCGCATAATTTTTCTCTCTAAAACGGCGAAGTTGCCGCCAAGAAAGAGAACCAAAGGGCAAGGAAAAGAACGCGGGAAAAGAATCTCGAAACTTTGAATATTTCGATGCCCTTTCAAATTTCAAATGTTTACCGCTCCCTCCTTTCTTAATCGGCGCTCCTCCTCCCTTCCGCTTTCTCTCTCTAAAACTTTTGATTCTTCATTTTTTAAGACACCTTACAAACCTCTCTCTAACCCATTGTCTACTTCTCGCTGTGACACTTAGCCTGCATCAAAAAGGAGCAACAAAAAGAAAAAATGGCGGATTTGGATCACTTGGATAAGATGGGAAGGGAGCTAAAATGCCCCATTTGGTATATCTGGAAAATTTTCAACTATTTTATTTAGTTTTTAGTGATTACATCTCATTGATTTGCTTCGTTTTTGATGAATTTGGGTGGTATATGAGGTTTTGACGTGGGCTTCTGCAACTTTTATTGCAGCTTGAGCCTTCTAAACTCTGCTGTTTCGCTTACATGTAATCATGTGTTTTGCAAGTAAGAAACGTCTCTCTCTCTCTCCTCCTCGCACCCCCTCTTTTTGGCTATGGGGTTTCTCCGATAATTATTTGGTTGAAGTTTTTTCTATTGTTCCTAACAGTTGACTTCTCTTAATTTCTTTTATTGGACATTTGGATTTTTTGTTCTGGAGATTACTGATTGAATTTCTGTTTTATCATTCCCTTTTTCTATCTGGGTCATATGTTGAATAAGCTGCTCTCTCTCTCTCTNTATATATATCTCTCCTGTCTGTTTTTTTTCAGCTATTGAGTTTTTTTACCTTCTGATAATTATTCATTGTTTTCTTCGGTTTTATTCTCATTTTTTCTATTTGAGCCTTGTGATTAATATGCTGTGGTCATTATTGGTTGAATATGTTTGGTTGTTTTTTTGGTGTTTTTGCACAGTTTGTGTATATCAAAATACATGAAAACTGGATCAAATTGTCCTGTCTGTAAGGTGCCTTATCATCGAAGAGGTATGCATACTAGGCTTAATTTCTTTGATAGCTAGAAATAAAACTATGTTAATTGGGTATTGGAAAAAATGGTTACTCTTTCTATCATGAACCCTTAGGAGTTAATGATCGTTTTATATGTAGATTGTGTATTACACTAATAAACTAGAACAAGGACAATCTTTTCCTTAGTTTAGATTGGATATTTAATGATCATCATTAATACATTTATTGTTTTGTTTCTAGTATAAATTTCTGGTTTGCTTATGCTTAGATATATTAGTGAGTTTGTGGCATGTATATGAACCAATCAATCCATTCCTTTGAACAAGGTTGAAGTCCTCTGTTATTCGTCATCCTCTAACATGCTTTCATTAGTTCACAAAATTTCAGAAAATTTTCTGAGCAGGCTGTTATACAAAAAAGTGGTTATCTATTTAGCAAAACTGAAGGGTCATCTCAATGATTTTGTTATTTTTCACACTTTGGGAAATCAATATGCCACGTGCACACACACACTTTCTCTCTATCTATATAATAATTGTATTTTTGTTAAATATTGCAGAAATTCGTCCTGCTCCTCACATGGATAACTTGGTGAGCATCTACAAAAGCATGGAAGTAGCTTCGGGGGTCAAAATATTTGTAACACAAACTGCACAAGCAACTAAAGGTGAGATTATAGTCACAAGAATCTTATTCATTTAATACCAATCAATTTTTCTGTAAATCTTAGTTTTGCTTGTTATACTGGACTTTTTGTTTCTCTCTTTCATGTTTCTACATTAAAAATACTTCTTATTTTATCTCTCTTTTTTTTTGTCTTTGTTTATAAATGTGCCTCCATTCAGAAGCTCACTTTTCTCCTCTTTTCTGTCTTCTTTTTTATATTTTGTTGTGCTAAAGAAGAGGAGAAACCCAATAAATCTAGTTTTGTTTCTGATGCTCCAAAAGAAACCCATAAGTCCCATGGAAATTCAAAGAAACAGAAAAGGCAATCTAAGAGAATTTTGCAAGCCACTGATGAATTACCTTCCGAGCCTTCAAACCCAGCAAAGAAAAGAGTACAGGTCTCCTTATATCCACCAGGAAGTTCTGAAACTCCAATTCTATACAAGAAAATCTCCAAATGTGAAAATAAAGCTGCCAATAATGAAGTCGAAGGAAACTCTCCCATACTCAAAGGAAAAAAACAACTGATATCCAATGGTTCATATGAGAATAATGGTTCAATTGTTCCCAAAGAGAAGCCTATTTTTGATGAGAAAGGAAACCCGATATTTTCACCATTTTTTTGGTTGAGAGACGAAGATGATGAGGAAAAGCCAGTTTCTCAGCAAACAGAGAATGCTCTGGTCTTGGAGACCCCACCTCATGGAAAGCCTTCTTTCAGTGACCTTAAGGATTCTGATGATGATATATCTGATAAAAAGGTATAACCCCAGCATGCTAGTCTCTCTTTCCTTGTTTCTCAAACTTGTAGTTGGTTTTTTGTTCAATTCCATCTTGATAACTTCAAATCTGTTTTCTTTCTATGGTAAAGCTTTAGTGCTTTATTATGATCATGGTTGTTACAATCTATTTTTCTTATTTTCTTTTCTTTAGGAAGAACAAGATGCTATTTCCAAGGCTGCAGACATGTTTGATAGTGAGATGTTCGAATGGACTCAAAGGGCCTGCTCTCCTGAACTATGTCCAACTCCATCTGAACTGCAGGTTTTGATTATTACCACTATTATTGCTAGTGTTATCATTCTAGTTTGGATTTCCTTAAGTTCAGCTTGTTACTTGTTTTTTTATTTCTTATTGTCACATAAGTATGCAATTAAGTTGGAATCTTAATTTCACAGCAACCTCAGAACAATGGGATTCAAGACAAATCTGACTTTTATGTGACCTGCAACTCTGATTTTGCTGAAAGTGCAAATCTTGATCCAGGAGATGAAAAGTTAGATTTGTGTTTGCCTGATTCTTTGCATCAACAACCTGAAAAGAGCAATTCAAAATTAACAACCACCAAGAGAACTGAAAATTGCAGTAGCCAACTACAGAAAAAACATACAAGGGGGTCTTTGAAGCAACCCAAGAATAACGAGACTAAAGACAAGGCTAAAGACAATGCAATTCACCGTGCTGAGGATGCCAAAACCCCATTATTTGGGCATGGGGGTGAGACATTGGATGTGGGTTTGCTTGATTCTTTGAACCAACAAACTGAAATTTGTAATTCAAGAAGAACAATCACCAAGTTAAAACAAAACTCTGGTGGCAAAGTAGGGAAATTTTTTACAAGAGGTTCCAAAAGAATGAGTAAACCTCAACATGATGAGATTAAAGACCCTTCTGTGGATGTCCAAAACTTGATCATTGAGCAAGGGGATAAGAAATTGGATGCTGGTAGGCCTGATACTTTGCAACAACAAGCTAAAATTCAAAATTCAAAAACAACAGTCACTGGAAGAAAAAGAAAATCAGGTAGCAGAGCAGGGAAACATTCTAGGGTTGAGTGCACTAGGGTGAAGAAGTCTCAAAATAACGAGGTTAATGATGAGGCTGAAATTAATGAGACCCACCCTTCTAAGGATGCCAAAGATCCAATATTTGAGCATGGAGATGAGAAAGTGGATGCAGCTTTTCCTACTTCTTTGCACCAGGAAATTTGCGATTCAAAAATCACCACAAAGAGAAATAAGCCTAGTAGTGAAGTAGGGAATAAATCTATAAAAGGGTCCAAAAGACTGAAGACAATTACAGAGTTTTTTGATGTTCCTTCTGCTGGGCCCATGACAAATGTAGCTGAGAAGACAGTTGAAATGCCAAAGTATTCAGTTTCGGTGTTAAAACCATGCCTTCATCGGGGGATTAGCGATGATTTCAAGGTCAATGCTGAAGTTCACTCCACCGAGGATGTTATTGAGATTATTCATGACCGAATCTGTTGTGCTTTCTGCCAAGCTGATAGCCATTCACAGGTATTCTCACTGTGATCTCTGTAGTTTTGCTTTGCTCTTACCAGTGTTTGAAGACTTGGCCTAGTTTACTCGGACTTCGCACCTTCTCGAACAGAGTGTTAATGTATAAAATATATCCTACAAATATGTTGACATATAGTTTTGATATTTTTGATGATTATCTGTGAGTTTCTCTGTTTCTCTTATTATATGCTCTAATTTTCTAATTTCCCCTTTTTTGGATTTTTCTTAACTTTTTCCAGCAATAAATCTAAATTTTCTAAATTCCATCTTTCAAATAGTTCTTTAGCCTCTTACTGGTTTTTTCTATTTTTAGCATTTTTTAAAAAAATTATTTGCATTTTCTAGCCTTTTTGGGCCTGTACACTATTCAGGGCGAGTCGACTTGCCTGTGTTATTTGGCTCGAGCTGAGTTTTTTAATGATTGGTTCTTGCATTGATTAATAACACATCACTGCCCCTTCCTCGCTCTCTCTCTCTCTCTCAAGGTATCTGGCAAGATATTGCACCATGTCAATGGCAAGGCTGTAGAGGCAGATTACAAGGGAATGTGTAGTGTCATCCATGCTCATAAGAACTGTGCAGAATGGTATGCAATATAGAAAAAAGAAAACCCACTTCCATTTTGTAATTGGCTTACTAGATATTATAGAGATTATTTTAAAACTACTTCATTACGTTTTCTGTTTATGTAATACAACACAGGGCCCCAAATGTTTACTTTATGGAAGATATTGCAATGAACTTAGAATGTGAGGTTTTGAGAGGGAGAAAGATCAAATGCAGTAGCTGTGGGATCAAAGGGGCCACTCTTGGATGCTATGAAAAGAGTTGTCGCAAAAGCTTTCACTTTCCTTGTGCTAAGTCTCTTCCACAGTGTCGATGGGATGAGGTAAGGGCATTATGTTTTATTTCATTTTTCCATTATAGTAAACATTTTATTTCTAAAATATGGGACTTGGAACTTCTCAGCATATTTATGCATGAGTTGAAATATACTTACTGGTTTGAAAGAAGTTCAGGAAATATAAATGAGCAGACAAGATAAAACAGGAAAGAGACTCAATGAGTCATTGCTTAACTGAATCATACAACCATGGAAGAACTATGGGTTTCAAAATCAAATGTATATAGCCAATGTTTTAAAACTCTGCAGAGTCACCTTGTTCAGCACCTTGCTGAGTTCAGTCGTGGTTAGAAATTTGGACATAAAGAAAAACAACATAAAAATTATATTTTACTAAATTGATGTGTAAATATGTTTATGTATTATTTTAATGTTTTTCATGATGATTTGTGAGCTTTTCTTATTATATGCTCTATATTTATAATTCTCCCTTATTTGGACTTTCAGAATTGTTTCTAGCTATAAATCATTTTTTTTTAAAAAAAAATTCATCTTTTATATATCTTCTCCATCTTTTTTAGACTTTTAATGCTGTTTATATAGGTTAGTTTGCTTTCTACCCTTTTCTATTTTTTAACTTTTTTTTTTTTTTGTACACTTTTACATTTTTTAGTCTCTTTTTTTAGGCTTGTACATGATCATGTGAGTCCACTCAGACAACTGAGTTACTTGGTTCATGAATGGCCCAATTCCCAAGCCTGAGCAAAGTTCTTGCACACTGGTATCAAGGGATTGATTTGATTTTTCATTCATGATAACCATCAATGGAATGCTGTGCCTCAACGCATTTCAGGGAGAATCAACTTTTGTATATTGAAAACTTTGCTATTGATTCTGTTACAGGAAAACTTTGTGATGCTTTGTCCGGCTCACTCTTCATCCAAGCTTCCCAAAGAAATATCAAAGGCTGAAAGGAACAAAAGAAACAACTCCTCGTCCAAAATGTATGTTCAATCTGCATTAATCATGAGTGTAGTTCTTATTTTTCAATATTTTTTGCAGCCAATTGTGATTCTTAATTGATGACAAGAAAATCTCTTTTTGGGTTATTAAACTGGTTTTTGGACTTAGCCATTGTGTTGCTTATTCTTGTGCAGGGACCCTCAACCTCCATCGATCAATCAGTCTGGTAATGCATCAAAATCAGTGTCCAAGAAGCAATGGCGATGGTCTTGTGCATCATCTAGCAAGTGGGTTCTTTGTGGATCAGCTCTAAATAATGCAGAGAAGGTATGTGGAGAGAGAGAGAGAGAGAGAGAGAGAGAGAGAGAGAGAGAGAGAGAGAGAGAGAGAGAGAGAGAGAGAGAGAGAAGAAGTAAGTAAGTAAGTAAGTAAGTAAGTAAGTAAGTAGTAGTAGGTAGTAGTAGTAGTTAGTACGTAGTAGACGGTAGTAGTGTAGTAGT